ATTCTAAGTTTTAATGAACCCTCACCCAAAATTAGATAACATGATTGTTTCAGCAATAACAGTTTTAAAAAGGAGGTATATCATTGTTATTTCAATTTGCATTATCTTGGTTACTGGCAAAATTTAAATCATTTAATTTGCTTGCTGATAAACTGTGTTTTCTCTTTTGTAGAATCTTACTCATGTCCTTTTAATATTTCTGGATTTGGATCTATATGTTTTCTTATTAATTGACTGTCATACTAGAAAAAATAATTTTTCCTCGGGGCCACGGTGTTTTATTACGAAAATAGAATAAAAACTTCGAAAACAAAAGCATCCTTTCCAATTTAATGAAAAAATTTGTTATTTTTTATTGTTTTCTGTGAGTTATATGCAATTAAATTGTTGATATTAATGGTAACGTAAGAATATCAACAAGTAAGATTTTCATAAGCCAACTGCGGGGTTTCACCCAGGAGGCCACCAATCACGTAACATGTATGCTACAGCATGGTAGCATGAGTTGCCTGCACACCAAGTTGCTTCCCAAGGTAAAGAGACATGTGAGTTACACATGCTTCACAAGGCCTTGGCTCAAAACTAGCATGAGTTAAATACAACTCACATGGCAGTTAATGTGTTAAAAATTAATTCTTTCCTATCATCTTTTCATATGCTCTTCCTGTATGTTGGTTTCCTATTTAGGATTTTTTTAACAACATGTTTTAGATTTTATAGATTCAAATTTCTATTTTCTATCATATCTAAGTTCTCTTCTTCCATATCTATATTTAGCTTGAGTTTTGATAAAAATTTCATATAATTATCTTCTAATTTTTCTATGTTTTTATATTTTGTAGCTATACTTTAGCTTATTGCCTATTTGGAACTCATTTGCTATACAGTAGGAGCTGAGTCTAAAAGTCATCTTTTTCCCACATTGCTAAATGAATTATAACATTAATATATTCTTTAATTTACAAGAATCCTATTTCCCACTGATTTATGAGGTCTCCATCATATTACATTCTTTCCAAATAACCAAGGTTATTTCTGAAATACTCCGTTACACTGGACCAGTACCAAAACCTTTAACTTTTCTAAACCCTTTGTTCTTACAGATATCAGAATGATCCTAAAGTTAAAAAAAAAAGTCTCATGGTTACTGTTTGTTATTAATTAGAATTTCCCTAGAATAATATGTTAACCAGGGAAAAACTGACAACTTGAATATTTAGTCTTTGCATATAAAAATAAATTCTCTCTACATTCATTGAAGTCTTTTTTTTTTTTAATTTATTTTTAGAGATAGGGTCTTGCTCTGTCAGCCAGGCTGAAGTGCAGTGGCTCCATCATAGCTCACTATAACCTTGAACTCCTGAGCTCAAGCAATCCTCCCCACTGAGCTCCCAATTAGCTAGGACTGCAGGCATGTCACAGTGCCCAGCTAATTTTTTTTGTTTTTTGTAAAGACGGGGTCTCACTATGTTGCCCAGCCTGGTCTTAAACTCCTGGCCTCAAGTGATCCTCCCAGCTCAGCCTCCCAGAGTGCTGGGATTACAGATGTGAGCCACTGCACTTCTTACGTACGTTTGTGTAAAGTTTGAAGTATTAATATTAATTATATAAGTCACACGCATTAACTCTTTTTTAAATTAATTACAATACACTGTTAAATTGTCCCCTTCGGAACATCATTGAGTTACCTGGAATATCATTCAGTCATTGGCCTAGAAGAGTAGTTTAAATCATACAAGAACAAGGATAGACATACATCACATAAATATCACAGTTTTAAAAATGAAGGACCCATGCCAGGCATAGTAGCTTGCACCTGTTATCCCAGCTACTTGAGAGGCTAAGGCAGGAGAATAACTTGAGGCCAACAGTTCAAGACCAGCCTGGGCAACATAGCAAGACCTCATCCCTAAAAAAAAATTTTTTTTTTTAATTAACCAGGCATGGAGGCATGTGGCTGCAGTTCTAGCTACTTCAAAGGCTGAGGTGGGAGCATCGCTTTGAGCCCAGAAGCTTAAGGCTGCAGTGAGCTATGACCATAACACTGCATTCCAACCTGGGTGAATGAGCCCCGGCCTCTAAAAAATGAATAAATTTTAAAAAATGAAAAATAAATAAAATAAATTTTAAAAATAGGAGCCATGAGGAAAGCAATGTTTTCGTGAAGCAATGTAATGAATTTTAAGTACTAATGTTAAGCAAAAAATTTTTTTTCCTTAAAATTTTCTTCTCATTCACCTTGGCTTACCTGCACAGTAAGCTGAGGAGGATCCTTTTTTTCCGACTTCATTTCTACAACTGCTATGTTAGGTTTCTTTACTCCACTTTCTATTTTTCGAGATGATGGAGGAATAGAAGTAGTCACAGTTATAGGGTGTGGTTTGTTTACAATTATTCCAGCAGGTGGCATGGAATCACTATTACTTTGGGTTTGTCCTAAGAAGTTGAGGAAAGAAAACAAGTCAACTAGTTCAGAAATAAAGGAAAAATCTAATACACCATCTGAATCTTTGTGGCTGTATTCTCGTATGAAAGGAAAGTACTATCTGACGATCACCTCTCCATCCATCATCACCACTGTCAACATACTCACCATACATTAGGCACTTCTAGGTACTAAACACTTCATATACATTATCTCATTTCATCCTCAAAATAAAGGCTATGAGGTACTAATATTATCCACATTTTAAAACATGTCAAAAACTTTCACTTCAGAAGTCCCACTTGTTTTCTACATTTCAAAGTAAAAAGGAGGGCCAGGTAAAGTGCCTCATGCCTATAATCCCAGCAATTTGGGAGGCCAAGGCAGGAGGATCACTTGAGGTCAGGAGCTTGAGACCAGCCTGGCCAACACAGTGAGACCCTGTCTCCACAAAAAGTTAAAAAATTAGCCAGGTGTGGTAGCACACATTTGTAGTTCCAGCTACAGGGGAGGCTGAGGCAAGAGGTGTGCTTGAGCCCAGGAGTTCAAGGCTGCAATGAGCTATGATTACACCACTGCACTCCAGCCTGAGCAACAGAGTGAGACTTCATCTCTAAAATAAAAAAAGAAAAAAACAAAGTAAAAAGGAGAGTACAATGTACTCACTAAAAGTATAGAATAAATAATAAGCCAGACTGCCTGGGTTTGAATCCTAGCTCCACTCTAGCTGTGTGGCCTTGGACAAATTAACCCCTTTGTGCCTCAGTTTTTTAATCTATAAAATTAGTTTATTACCATGTGCTTTATAGGATAGATTAAATGAGTGAATATCTGTAAAGTGTTTAGAACTGTACCTGGCACTACAGTAAGGACTTTAAAAGTGTTAGCTATTATATTACTAGAAGGCACTTTTGAACAGACAAGGCAGCTACCATGTTGACATGACATTAACTCAAAATATTCATAATAAAAAATTCTCTTATGTTAAAAAATATTCATATTTAAATCATTCATCAAAATCAAGGAAGAATACCAATGACACTACAAGGAAAAAAGGAGCTAATTAGATTTGAAGAGCTGATGTGAGGGCAAAAACAATTTGTTCCATTTTTAACATGATGACTCTGAGAGACTTCAAGTAAATAAATAAACAACTATTAGCTTAGGATACACAAATACACAACTTTTACTTATCACAGCCTAGTGCAAAATTACATAAAGGTACTTTAAAGTACTTCCCCTAAGACATGACAATATTAACAAGCCAATCAAACCTCTTGGATTCTTATTACGAATGTTTGTGACATGTCTAAAGATTTTTTAAATTTTCATTTCATCTACAACATTGTACTGTTCAAAGGAATGTTCCCTGTGGGTGAAACTACAACAGGAATCCATCATTGTAGAGATTGCTATTACACAGCTAAGATACATTCTGAGGCCTTCCCTACAAATATAAACAACACAGAGTGACTACCGTGTGAGTACCATTTTGTAAGTTCTGCTACTGCTGATAAGAATTTGAAATTCACCCCACATATTTTGTTGGTTCTTACCTAAGAGAATTGCCATAGGAATTAGATGACCTTCTAGTGTACCTGAGAAAGTAGGCATTTCTCTGCTTGGGCTGAACAAATACTGCTGATCACCATGAGGTAGTGTAGTAATGGAATGCTTCATTTTAGAATCCACCTTCACAGGTTTTGCGGCATAAAAGTCAGTTTGTGTTCTTATTGACTTGACTTTAGTGCCTGCAAAAATCATTAATGCAAGATAATTTAAAATATTGTTTGAATTACCTACCATCCAGCCATCTAGAAATAGAGCAACTCTTTTTCACAGAAGGATCTCATTCTATATAATAATGTTACAGAGCCCCAAAACAGAAGTAACATATAGACCAGAGTGGTCTCAGTTGTACCTCTCCTGTTGTATAACGAAAGCATACATAAATGAATGAGCATGGCTAGGTTCAAATTAAACATTATTCACAAAACAGACAGCTCACCTGTAGGCCATAGTTTGTTAGCCACTGAACAGGTGTACAACTCGTACAGCTACTATGAGAAAATGAATACAATGACTAGAAAAAAAGTTGAATAAAGATTTTGAAGAATATTCAGACAATATGTTTGAGTTTATTAAATTTTTTCCCATAGGTACAAAAAGTTAATGATAATTGGATTTTTTCATTTTCTCATTACACCTTTATGCACAATTCTGAATAACCAGTCTTTATGCCTTGAAATTATATACAGATAACCTAATTCTATACTTACTTAAACCTTACAGAAGTTAATATTATACAGTAGTCCCTCCCTAACCGTGTTTTTGCTTTCCTCAGTCTCAGTAACTTGCAGTCAACCATGGTTGGAAAATATTACATGGAAAATTCCAGGAATAAATAATTCATAAGTTTTAAATTGTGTATAGTTCTGAGTAGCATGATGAAACCTCATGTCGTCCCACTCTGTCCCGCCCAGGTTGTGAGTGAGTCATCCCTTTGTCCAACGTATCCACACTGTATACATTACCTGCCCATTAGTCACTTAGTAGCCATCTCGGTTATCAGATGGAAAAAACATAATATATGTAGGGTTTGGTACTATCTACTGTTTCAGGTATCCACTGGGAGTCTTACAATGTATCCCCCACAGATAAGGGGGGACTACTGTACATTTTTCCTACTCTTATGAAGTAGATATATGTAATTGTATCCTAAATATTAAAAAAGTTAAAAATTTGATTATATGTCTCTTGTCTCTTTGGAGAAGAGGATACATTTCTATGGAATCCAAGAAAAGTGAAGAAAAGAAAAAAGTAAAAGTGCAAAGGAAAAGAGACTAAAATATTTTCTAAATAATTTCCTGACGTTACATTTTACTTTTAACATGTGGATGTTTTTCTGCACCTAGACTTTATTAAATATAGTTTTTTATTTATGATCCTAAGAAGAAAAATTTTAATACCTTATCTATATTTTTCATTGTGTTCTCTGACATTCATTCATTCTATTGAATGAATGTTTTTCTTGAGTGTTTATTTAAAATACATTTGTTCAGCATTTAATATGTGTTAGGCATTGTTCCAAACACAAGGAATACAGAGGTGAATAAACCAACTGTACTCATGGAGCTTACAGTCTAGTAAGGACAAACAAACAAAATAAATCATAAAGCAAATAAACAAAAATATAACAGGTAGTGAAAAGTGCTATGAAAAACAATAAGGCAGGGCAAGGAGATAGAGAGGAACAAGAGATAATTCCCTGGATAGAATAGTCAAGGCAGACTTCTCTGAGGAGCTAATATCTAAGAGCAGACATTGAAAGAACTGAGTGAGCCATGCAAGCGTCTGAAGGAAAAGCTCTCCAGACAGAGGAAATAGGCAGGTACCGAGGCCCTAGGATAAACCTAAGTCCAGAGGCTCTCAATCATTTCTACCATTAAAAGGATTATTGAATACAGTTATTTTTGGATTGGAAAGTATTTTAAAACCTCAAATGATTTTTGCAAAGACTTTCAAAACCCCAAATATAAGTTAATAGCAAAGCTCCAGTAAATAAGAGGAAACATTAGGGTAAATATCACCCATAAGCTATATGCTTTGCTAAAATAACATCAGTAAAATATCCTTTTTTTAATTTTAAAATTTATTTGATTTTTAATTATTATGGGTACATAATAGTTGTATAACATCAGTAAAATTTTTATACAGCCTGATACCCTATATGATCACCTAACTTTTAGAAAGGAAAGGGAACTAAAGCAACTGCCAAAGCTCCAACTTCTGGAAAGGACAAGAAAGGAAAATGGGTTCGTATCTACTACTTATCGTCAAAGAAGCTTACTGACTACTAAAGGACAAGCTGAGAAACTTTAAAATGTAACCAAAGTCAACAGACTCATTATTTAACTAAGACTTATATTTAAATACACAGTACCAGTGAAATGGCAGATGCAAGTAAAAACATGCAGTGATAAATAAAGATGTTTTTAATTGTGTACAAAAGAAACAAAAAAAGTTTTCGACTTTGCTATCTAAGGCTCTTTGAGAACAAATAAAACTGCAAAAGTGCCCATAAACACTTTTACAATAATAAATAGCATATGGCTGATCTTTCTGTTCATAAGAACATAATGGACCAAGTTCTTCAAGGAAATGTCCACTTTCCCTACATTTACATTGTTTAAGATTCATCATTTCCTAAGTAAAAATTTTATGATGCTTTATCTGAAGATACCATCTAACCCTACATTTCTTCCCACTTATTCCTATCTTGTGCCTGTTCTATTTCTCCCCACCTCTCCTAGAAGGAATTATTTTTCCATCTCTAGGCATTATGTAATTCGAACTGTATTTATAATAAATAAAAAGCAAACAAAAAGAAACTTTACATATTAAATTGATACTATTAAAACATGAGGTTATACACAAAAAAATGAGATTCTTTACCTTTAACTTGTTCTATTACTTTTGGTCTCAGTGGTTTGGATTTAGGAGATGGAGAATTAAATCTGAGATATGGTCCTTTTTTAAGAGTGCTGCGGTGACCCTGATAAACTGGTTTTCCATAAACTTGTAACATATAATCTTCATCTTGTATCGCCGTCGTTGCTTTCAAAAGCCCCTATGTATACAAAGTTATTCAACTCACCATGAAAATAGTTATCAAAAACTTATCTCATTTTTCTAAAGCCTCTTTTTGCTAGCTTAAGTACTACAATAAGAATGATCAGCTCAGAAAAATCCTCTATTTCAGACAATCCTTAAATTCTGGATGTGAGTTTAAAAAGCATGAAATTTATTTTGACTAAATCCAAATTTGATGAATAAATAAATAAAGAAATAAAAAGCATGAAATTTAAATATAAAAATTATCCACC